GCTACAAGCTCCGAGACCAAGCACCGTCAGAGGTCTGTGAAATGTGCTGAATCCCAGACTCAGCTAGGGAGCTGGGTCCCACAGCGTCAGGCTTGCGCTAGCTCACTCTTTCCTGAAGGATCGCCCCCACACTAGGCCACTTGGCCACCTAACGAGGCCTCCTCAGAGGTGAGAAGCTGGAGGCTGGGACTTTCTGGCAACACGAACAGTCTGGAACCAACAGAGATGCACCACGGCCACCTGACTGGCCTCTGAGTCAGTCTCCTGCAAACACACCTTTCCATAGCCAGAGGGCCACGGGGTCCCTGCATACTTGGCGAGCCAGGGCCAGGCCTTCCTGGCTGGGGGGAGTAACACCAACGGGGTTTGAGGGTCTCCACCTTCCCTGTACCCTCCAACACAGGAGCCTGAAGGAAATGTCTACCCTAACTCCAGGTCCCCGGAGCATGTCAGGAGTGGCTTGTCATTTTCCCTGTGTGAAACTGGAGAGGAAGAGTGAACCCCCAGAGGAGTTCTTAGGATCCTTTCTTGCCTTGGAAATAAGATTCAGGCAGTCACTCTCTGCCTTTGAGCTGGCCTCGTAGGAGGCGGTGGGCAGACCAGCCTGTCCATCCTGACCCAGCACTGCCTGCCTCTAAAACAGTCACCATTGACAACAGGGTTGGGTTTATTAAATGCTCCTGGGACAGCCCTGCGGTGATCACAGGGCTGTCCAGGCCTGCCCTCTGCTGGGCACAAACTCACTACTGAGCCAAAACTTCCATCAGATTGAGGGTCTGGCATCATGTACTGAAAACCTCCACCTGAGTGACTGAATTGCAGATTTTGAGTCTGTTACCTTGGCCATATCGAGCGAAAAGACAAATTTGCATCTGAACCTGACAAACTGGCAGAGGAAGCCTGCCCAGGTATAGAGAAAACTTAATTCTCAGCTTAAAATAACACAAAGGTTATTTGAAACCACTTTCACTGGGTTCAGAAAACAGGTTAATTTTTAATGACATCTTCAATGACCTGACAGATGATGAATGAGGAAAACAAATGGCATGGAGTTTGATGTTTTGATTGTTATTTTAAAAATCTGAGAATGGGTTTGTTGTTCAGACGTTGAACTCTGTTCAACAGTCCGAGGATTTTACAAGTTGCCTTTGTTACTATTTAATCCCTGAGGTGAAACAGGCAGAAGTGCACGTTCAAGGTGACCTGCCAGTCTGCATTTGAGGTGCTTTTGACCTCAGACATACAATCTGATGGAATCTGGTTCTTGGACAGCTCAGTGTGGGATGCTGGGACTTCCTTCTCAGGGGCCCTTTTACTGGCTGAGCCCCAAGCTGAACCGGTGGTTATAGCAGCAGCAAGGCTCTGGGTGCAGGCCTGGGGATCCCTGGGGCTTCCCTCTAAGGTCCTGTCTTGGTCCCCTGGCCTCAGTCTTGCATGCCTTTCGGTCCCTGGTTCTCCAAGTGTGGTCCATGGATCAACAGTGTAGCATTATCTTGGAACTTGTTGGAAAGTTGAAATCGTGGACCCCCATCCCGGACCAATAGGATCAGAGCCTTCAGTTTAACAAGAGAGCCAGGCGATCTGCGTGCACATTAATTTGGGAGTCACTGCCCTAAGAGGTACTCCCGAGTGATTTCTGGAGCACAAATGCGCCCCTGTCATTGCTCATTCAGCATGCCCAACTGGACTTTTTGGGGGAGGGCCCCCTCTCCTGCCTCATCTCCTGCCTCTCTCCCCTAGCCCGTTACTCTCAATGGTAAAGGCTGAGTTCAAGCTCTGGCTCTGCCACTTACTAGTCATATCATCCTAGGCAGGGCATCTGACTTCTATGAGCCTCACTTTACTCATCTGTAAAATGGAGACAGTAACAGCAATCACACGGGTCTGATGTAATGATGGAGTGAGGACTCTCATTGAATCTGGTTCTCCCCCTGCCCCCATTCCCATGTGTTCTGCTGACTGTGGCATCTTTGTAAATGCACATTTTTAAGAACCACAGAGCAAAATCAATTGCCTTTGGAAGATACTATGTAGCATGGTGGCTAAGGAGAGCATGGACAATACAACCAGCTGGGCCAATGTTCACATTTCCACTCTCTCACTTATTGCTGCATTTCTCTCTGAGCCTCAGTTTTCTCCTCTGTAACATGGGGTTGGCAGGAAAATGATGTGACAATCCAGAGGTAAGTAATGCACGTGAAGTGTCTGGCACACAATGAACACTCAATGAGTGACAAATCTTGGTATTGTTATTATTACTATTATTACCCACCCCCATTAGCACAGAGAAATGGTGGGGAGGGTGGAAAATACCATGCAAATAAACTGTGCAGCCACTCTCAAAAACGGCATGGAGTTTCCTCAAAGACTTAAAACTAGAACTCCCAATGACCTAGGATTGCAGTACTAGTTATTTACCCAAAGGATACAAACATACAGATTTGAAGGGGTACATGTACCCCGATGTTTATCATCATCAATAGCCAAATTATAGAAACAGCCCAAGTGTCCACTGACTGATGAGTGGATAAAGAAGAGATGGTGTGTATATACAATGGAATGTTTCTAAGCCATAAAAAAGAATGAAATTTTGCCATTTGCAATGATGTGAATGGGGCTAGAGAGCATAATGCTGAATGAAATAAGTCAATCAGAGAAAGACAAATAACCGTAGGATTTCACTCATATCTGGAGTTTAAGAAACAAAACAAACAAAAAAAAAAAAAAAGGAAAAAAGAAGAAAGAGAGAGAGAGAAGCAAACCAAGAAACAGACTCTTAACCATGGAAAACAAACTGATGGTTACCAGAGCGGGGTGGAGGGAATGGGTTAAATAAATAAGTGATGGGGGTCAAGGAAGGTGCTATGATGAGCGCTGGTGTTGTATGGAAGTGTTGAATCACTAGATTCTACACTGAAACTAATATTACACTGTATATTAATTAGCTGGAATTTTAATAAAAACTAAATAAAGCCCCCTACTACACTGTATATTTAAAAAAAAAAAAGGAAAAAGAAAATACCGCAAATATAAAGCACTATTTAATGCTGATATCCTCTGTACTTATTTAAGACAGCCTTCGGCAGCTAAGTTAGTTCTGACATTTAGCGCTTCTCTCTCTGCCTACAGGGCATTGCTGTCTACATCACCATGGTTGTCCTTGACCTGCCTCCTCTCAGCAGTCTGGCTAGAGCACTCATGCTATGTGGTTTGCAATGGCCGGGCAAGAGAAACACGCACAGCCTGCTGATCTACAGCAATGCTTTTCAACCAAGGCTGCAGTCTGGAAGCACCCGGGGAGCTTTAAAATCTACTGATGCCTGGATCCTGCCCCCCTGACATTCATTTGATTGAGTTGAGGTGTGTCTAGGTTCTGGGACCTTTCAAGCCTTCCCAGTTGACTCTAATACGCAGCTGCGGTTGAGAGACACTTCTATCATCTAGAGGATGAGGAGGACAAGTTCTAGAGGACTCCCTCCTGGTTTACACACAGGGGATTCCTTCTCTAATCTCCACCCCAAAGGGAGGCCCACAAGGAATGCTGAATTTAGTTAGAAAGCAAAAGCCTCCACTCCCAGGAGCAATAAAACCTCAAATGGACCCAAAGCCAAGTAATTGAATCCTTGATTGATGGGGATATTTTTGTTCTCTTTATGAAAACAAATGAAAGCAGGTCAGCCTCAGGAATTTAAAGAACAGCTTCCACAGACCGTTTTGGCCACTGCCCCACCCCCCCGCCCGTGAGTACCCAGGGGCAGTGGAGTGTCCAGAGACACAGTGTGAACCCACAGGGGCCCTGTCTTCTGCACAAGCCAACTTACACTCCAGTTACTAAAGACAGACACAGTCGAATGGTGTGTTTGAGAAGCAGTTTCATCATTAAAGCTTGAAAGCAAAAAAGATCTCCAATTAATCAGACACCTGAGTCCCTGATCCTCCCTTCCCCCCGCCCCAATTATTCCATGAGGAATTCTAGGCCCCAGTGGGGATTTATTTTTCAGGAATTTGCTGAACAAACCAGGGAGGCCTCCGCCTACCCCGTTGACACAAGAGTTACGAGTGGCTCTGGAAGGCACTTGGCCTTTGGGTGCTGGCTCACCTGTGGCCAGAGTGGCCTGACTGGACAGGTGTGGCCTGGGCCACAGGTGATGAGGAGGCGCAGGAGTTGAGATTATGGGGATGATTAGCATCATGCCTGGACCAATGATTCTCCCCTAGGCTATGGGCACAAAGCTTTGAACGCCCATCCCCTTCCTCATCTGCTGAGAGATGCCACTCATGGGAGCTTGCTGTGCCCGTGGGCAGAGAAAAGGTCAGGTTGTGAACCCCCCAAACATACCTGTTGCTCATGCTCATTCCCCCTGCCCCACCCCCGTCCTGACTTCTGGGCAGATTCCCACTCAGCCTCTGGGGGTGGGGGAGGTGGGCAGCCCAAGGTTTTCACCGCAGGCCTGATCAGCCACACCACTGGCTGGGCACGGCTCAGTATGAACAGAGCACCTTGGGCTGAACCTGAGCTACTCACAACAGTCCCCCAGCCGCACAGTGTGCCCGCACAGCCCTGCGCCCCAGCACAGCGCCCATGTAGACCTCTGCTTGCTGAGGAGTCCCCTCAGGAGCCACCAGCAGTAGGTTGGATGGAGGCTGGGAGGGTTTGAGACAGGAGGGGCATCACACTCCAGGAACACCCTTAGCGGTCCAGGGATGAGAGTATGAGACTCTACTCCAGGAGGGCACTGGAGGAGGAGGGGGCAGAACACACTTGCTTCCTCCATCAGTACCTGTGATGAGGGGCTGATTGGCACGTGGACCTCATGCAACCACACAGTAATGAGGTCTACCCTTGATAATAGGAAAACGGACAGATATGCAATTGGGAGGGATGGAGATGGGGGGGGAGAGACAGAGAGAGATAAGGAGAGACACAGAGAGAGGAGAGAGTGACAGACCGAGAGAGAGAGGCATCTTTTCTGGGGATTCTTGGAAGAGCAGCCACTTACCAGTTCTTTCCTGAGCCAGGCTATCGCTTCGTCGATACTTTCAAAGCCTTCCAGCTTGCCAGTGGGCTGGGGCCCAGTGGCCCGGCTGGCACCCCCGTTAGGTGGGGCTTGCTGCCTGGGCTCTCTCCTGGGGGATGAGGGCTCCTCCTCCCCACACTCCCCCTGCTCAGCAGCTGACCTCGGGAAAGGCCACGTCTGCTCCTCCAGCCTGGCCTGCCATTCCAAGTAGGAGGGTCTTCGGGTCTCCAGCCTCAGTTTCTCTGTGAGGGCCTTCAGGCTCCTGAGGTGGTCGTCAGGAGGCGGGGTGGCTCCGGGCTCTTCTTCCCCACCTACCACTTCTTCTACTTGGATCTGGGGCACAGACATTCTAGAGTCTGTTGGGGGAGCCAGACATGAGAGGTGGGGGGTGTGTGCTGTGGAAACCTTGGTGGGTGGCAAGGCTGGGTCCCACTCTGGAATGATCTCATCCAGCTGGGGTCAAGGCTCCTGAGGGCATCGCTAGGAAGTGAGAAGCTCCTGGAGCCAAGAGGGACCGCGAAGGAACCGCTGTGGATTTAAGATTCTTCCTGGAGTCCTGCGGCTGCCATGCTTCACAAAAGGCAGGAACAGACAAGTGGGAGCAGGAATGTTTGGGGGGCAGATTTGCCAAGATCTGTCAGTCCTGGAGGCACAGGCGGATCAGAGACTGGCAGGGAAGTGGGACTGAGCTACCTCCTCAGGGGGAAGGGCAGGCGGCAAGCAGCTGCTGCTGGTGGGAGGCCCTGTAGGAAGGATGAAATGATGTCAGTGCTAGTCCCTCCCCTGGCAGGAAGCCTGCCACATTCCTGAGCTCCTCAGGAGGGGAAACTGAGGCTCAGAGAGGTTAGGGGACAGGGCTGCTGATTACTCGCTCGGGACTAGAAGTGAGGCAACTTCAACGCCTTAACTCAATGTAGAGAAGTTAATAATAAATCAATGCTCTGTACGGTGTTTCACCACTTATGACCTGACTCTACCTCCATTATCTCCTGTGATCCTCATGGCAAGTCTGCAGTTACTTCTTCGTGTCCCCATGCTACACGCCAGGAAGCTGAGTCTCTGAGAGACTGTATGACTCACCAGAGAGCTCCTGGGAGTTAGCAAGGACAAGGCTGGGTGGTCAGATGGTGAAGGCTCAGGTCTCCCCTCTGGACAACAGCCACCTGTCGGTCCCTCGGCGGACACAGCGAGGCCGGCTCCAGGACGCTGACCCCGCCCACCCGGCCCCCCACCCAGGGGCTCTTGCAGGTCTTCCTGCACACTCTCGGCTTTGTCCTCCAAGAACAATACCTTACCTCACCTCTTCAGAGGAGGAAGCAAATAAACCTGCAGCCGCTGAGGGAAGAGCCGACCTCCCTCAAGGAGGATTATTAAACTGAGCAAGGCTTGTGACTCACCGTTCTAGAAAGATGGGTCTCATTCACCTAAAATGCCCACACTGCAGAGCCTTATGGGCAAGGGCTGTGGCTCTGGAATCCACTTTGGCCTTCCCAACTCTGGAGAGGTGGTCTGAGCCTAGGCTCTTGCCTCCTGTCAGAGGCAGAGTAGGGAAGTCACCAGGCATCAGAGTGAGGCCCCAGTCTCCCAGCAGCATCCCTGCACCCAGGGGGTCCCAGCAAGTGGAGACGGGTTCATCAGGGCAGGACATTTAACTTGGACCTGGGAGAGAAATCCTTGGTTCTCAGGGGGAGTTTTAAAAACGTATGCAGAGGGCATGCAGAGAAAGAATGAACTGGCATGGAACGATGTCCAAGGCAAAGCTTACATGGAAAAAACGACGAGACATTCACAGTCTGGAGAGTACACTGTTGGTGTGGAAAACGAAGGGAAGGAACAGATTTTTTACTGACTTGTGTGTTCCTAAAAAGATTTCTGCAAGGAGAAAAACTAAAACAGAGTTGTGATTACTTGTCTGGATGATGGGAACTGGGCACAGGGTGTGTGAGGGCAGGCACAGGAGGAGGCAGAGAATTGGGGAGGGGGAAATAAAAATACAGGCTTGGTCCCCCAGGAGGTCCATGGGGATCCTTTCCCACCCAGCAATGGAGATCCTTAAGGCGTTTGGGGCACCCAGGGGGGTTTAGTCAGTTAAGTGTCCTACTTCGACTCAGGTCATGATCTCACGATTCGTGAGTCCAAGCCCTGCATCAGGCTCTCCACTCCCCGCTCAGAGCCTGCTTTGGATCCTCTGTCCCCTCCTCCTCTCTGCCCCTCACCTGCTCATTCTCCCTGTCCCTGTCCCTCTCTCTCTCTCTCTCTCTCTCAAAAAGAAATCAACATTAAAAAAGAAGAAGAAGAAGAAGAGAGCTTGCTGTCTTTCTGGACTGTTTCTACAATCCCCACCTGCAGCGTGAGGTGCAGCCTGGTCCCCATTTTGGGACATCCCTGAGGAATGAGGAGAAATATTCTACCCCAACTAATGGCAGAGAAACCCAGTTCTCACCTCTAAGCACACTGTTGAGAATCTCCTGAGGAACTTCCACAAAAATATTCCCAGGACCCACTCCTAGAGGTTCTGGGCTGGGACTCAGGCATCAGCATGTGAGTGAGTGGCCAGGGTCGAGAACCACTGGTCTTGAGAAAGAAACACTAAGCTAAGGTTTAGATGGCCTAGCTGTAGGTGCTGTCAGGCTTGCCGAGCCTCAGTTTACTTGCCTATAAAATGGGGGTGATAATAGCCATCTCCTAGGTGTGGGGGATTGGCGGAACTAAGTTTTGTTCGCACTTTCTGCAGGTTTAGCATGCTCTGCCAATGTGGGCGTTCTCGAAGGGTGTGTCTGAGCAGCCTTGAGGTCACACAGACTTCTTTAGAATCTCTCCAAATCTAAAGACCCATTAGCAGCCCCTCCCAGGCGCCTCTGCCTCTTTGCAGAGGTGCCAGGGTCTGTTCTGAGTGTGCCTTGGGGCGGCTCTACCTTACAGAACTTCTTTCCACTGGCAGGGGAGCTCTGATTATTTCCAGTGATGATTTTTGGAGAGGATCTAATTGCAGACAAACCATGAGCAGCGCTCCCCACACCACAGCTGTGTGAGCTGATGACATAGATTCCAAGTCCCCTTTTCTTTCCCTGAGCTGGCTGCACAGTCACAACAGAGGGCAGGGGCATCTGTGGCCAGAGGGAGAACCCATAAGGGGAGGGTCTTCCCTTTGGGGTGGGAAACAGCCAGCACTCGATGACTTTATAGGGCTGCCTCTAAGGGCAGGGGGAATTTATTTTAATTGGTGGTTTTCAAAGCAATCCAGAAAAGGCCTGTGTAGACAGTGTCAGAATGACTTGGAGGCATCAAGAGGAGCGCCAATGCACTGAGTCAGCTAATGATGACCCTCTGATCCTCTGAGCTTAGGGAGTGTGTGAAAGCACTCGTGCATGTGCATCCTCTCCCGCAAGCCTCACAGTGGCCCTGAGGATCAGGTGGTATCACCCTGTTTCACGAATGAGAAAATCGAGGCTGGGAGGGATGGAGTGAGTCACCCATGACCACAGACAGTCCCCAGCAGCGGGGCTTGGGCACAGCCTTCTGACTCTGGTCGGCCTCTCCACTCCAGAGGGTGTGGGCCTTGGGGTTAGACTCCCATGGGGCCCAGTTCTATGACCTTGGGCCTGTCGCGTCACAACCGCTCTGTGTTTCTGTGTCCTCTTCTAAGAAGTGGGGGCAACCAGGACCGTCTACATAATTTGTTGGGCTTGGCGCAAAATGAAAATGCAGAGCTTCTTGTTAAAAAGTACTGAGAATTTCAGGGCGCCTGGGTGGCTCAGTCAGTTGGGCGACTGACTTCGGCTCAGGTCATGATCTCACGGTTCGTGGGTTCGAGTCAGCTAGTTCAGGGCCTGGAGCCTGCTTCAGATTCTGTGTCTCCCTCTCTCTCTGTCCCTCCCCAACTCATGCTCTGTTTCTCTCTGTCTCAAAAATAAATACACATAAAAAAAAAAAAGTACTAAGAATTTCAAGATGGTAACAAGAGAGCATTAACACAAGCTTGGGCTCAGTCTGGCTGCCTGGGTTCCTTGCTCATGAGGCCTGCCCTGGGGGGAATAATTCCCACTTCCTGGGTCATTTCAAGGACTAAAGTAACAAATACTGAGCCCTTCAGGGTACCTGCTATAAAGTAAGCCATAGACAAAGCTATACCTTAAAAAATATTCTTCTTCTTCTTCTTTTTTAATGTTTATTTATTTTTGAAGAGAGAGACAGAGACAGAGCACAAATGAGGATGGGCAGAGAGAGCAGGACACAGAATCTGAAGCAGACTCCAGGCTCCGTGCTGTCAGCACAGAGCCCATTACAGGGCTCAAACCCAGGAACCTTGATATCATGACCTGAGCTGAAGTTGGACACCTAACTGACTGAGCCGCCCAGGAGCCACCCCCCCACCAAATATTATTCTTAAGATGATGAAAGCTATCAGTGCTACATCAGTCAGATCACCAGATAAGGCCACTCGGGGCTGCACTGAGCAGTCACTCTGTTGGTGCCTGACCTGCCAGGTGGCCTGAGCCACTCCCTGCACCCTACATCCTTCCCTGGAAGCTGACTGAGATGAAGTCAGTTGACCCCACCTCCCCCCAGATGCTCAGGTCTCCCACTCAGGTCCTCATCATGCACAGGTGACTAGCAGGTCTGCCATGGGGAGGAGAAAAACAGCCCAGCTTGGGAAAACACCATTCTATATCCCCACTCCCTTCCCTCCCTGCTCATATTTGGAACACCCCTGTCCACAGCTCAGGATTCCAGGGGGGATCCAGCCTTGACAGTGTGTTATCCACATGGTAAGAGCAAGGGCAAGGGGCCGAATCTGGTCCCAGATCTGCTACCCATAAACCCAGTGCTGAGGCTCAGCTCTCTCCTCTTGGCCTCACTCTCCTCTGTACAAAGGTGTTTCCTACCCCAACCAGGGGCTGGGCTGGGTCATACATGAAAGCTCTCTGCAACCTTTGAAGAGCTGTACCCACCTGAGATATTATTATCATTGAGGCATGTGTGGGGTCTGGAGAGGTCTGAGTCAGGGACTCACCCTGGGATTGCTACATCCCTGTCGCATGTAGCAGGCAGGGACGGAGCCCCAGACTGCTTCCCATGGTCCCCAGCACCAGGTGGTGAGGATTTGCTGAAACTGGATCTGTTCTCTGTTCTCCTGGTCATCAGACAGTGTCCCAGGGAGTGCACCCTCTGGATGCCCTGGTGCCTGAGATCCCCATATGAGGCTGTTCCCTCCCCTCCAGCTGGGCTGCCAGGAGCTGAGGGAAAGTCACCCACTCAAGTGGCTTGAGGGAAGTGGGCACTCTAACCTAAGTCCTTCCTGCTCCGAGGAGCACAGTTTCTCTCACCCTGATCTTCGCAAAGGCAGATAGCCCGAGGAGGAGGAAAGCCAGAGGATGCACCCAGAAAACCAAGGCCAGACCCTAACCCCACCAGGCGCAAGCGTGCCTTGCCAGGAGGGCCACGCGGCTACAGGGGGACACGAAACTCCTGCAGCAGGGGACA